GCCACGTGATTATTGCGACACTTATGACCCTTGTGGCACTAATGGAGTTTGTGTAATCAGTGACTCACCTGTTTGTCAATGCTTGGAAGGTTTTGAACCAAAATCACCAGATAGCTGGAACTTGATGGACTGGTCGGAGGGATGCATTCTTAGCAAGCCATTTAGCTGTCAGAATAAGGAAGTTTTTTTCGAATTCTCTGAGCTGAAACTACCAAATACCACCAAATCTTGGGTAACTGGTACTATGAATCTTCAAGAGTGCAGGGAAGCATGCTTCAAAAATTGTTCGCGTATGGCTTACTCAAACTCAGATGTTAGAGGACAAGGAAGTGGATGTGTCCTTTGGTTCCACGATCTTCTTGATATTTGGCAGGTTCAAAATGGAGGCCAGGACCTGTATATACGAATCGAAGCTTCAAAACAAGGTACGTGTTGTTAACAAAGTCTTTTTCCTTTTCTTTTTGTGGATCTTGTGTCAATCTATTATTATACTAAACCTATTTTTCTCTTTAACAGCTGGAATACATGTGGTCAATGCAGTCTTAATTAGTCTAATCACCGTGGCTGTTCTTTTTGGGTTGGTTCTCCTCTGCTACTATCTTTCTTGGAGGAAGACGAAGGTTAGAGGTGCGTGCAGTAAAGCTACTTCAGCACAGTTTTTCTTTTAAAATAACAAACTGGTTTACACTAGAGCATTAGTGATGGAACTTACATGCTTGTTTCTTATATTTCTAAGCCAGGATCCTATTCCAAAAATTTGGATGATATTTTTCCAACCACTGTTTTGGTAACAGGGATAAGTGGACAAGTTGATCGGACCAGTGAAGGCCCAAAAGAAGACCTAGAGCTACCCTTTTTTGACTTGGCAACAATGCCTAATGCTACTGATAACTTTTCATTGAACAACAAAGTTGGTGAAGGAGGGTTTGGACCTGTTTACAAGGTAAACTTCCAAATTTTGAGAGTTCTGGTTGGCAGCATTACGGCCTGGACTTCTGGTTTGGAGGCTTGCTTAGATGCCGTGTTTCTTGTTCTCTTGCTCTTTCTGTCTACCTTCTTTTTATCTGTAGAAGAAGGGCTTGGGAGTCTCTATGTGTGAGACATTGGATTGAGAAATTCGTTGGGTTTTTCTAGTTGAAACTTAAATTGGGTTGTCAGTCCTCACTTTGCCAACATATTTGTTGCATTTGACTTTCATATAGGACATTTATTTTGTGTTCTCCAAGGAACAAAGAATTATCAAGAACTTAATATAATCTGATTTTGGACCTTGCCTAGGGAATACTAGTAGATGGACAGGAAATCGCTGTGAAGAGGCTTTCCAAGAGTTCTGGACAGGGATTGAATGAATTCAAAAATGAAGTGAAGCTGATAGCAAAACTTCAGCATCGAAATCTCGTAAAGCTCGTTGGAAGTTGTATTGATGATGAAGAGAAGATGTTGATCTACGAATACATGGCTAATGGGAGCTTGGATTCTTTTGTTTTTGGTTTGTATCTTTAGAGAAGAGTTCCTATATCTATCCCGTTAGCCCTGAATGAGAGTTTTAGTTAGAGAATTGGACTAACTTAACTCTAAACTGCTAGATCAAACAAGGCGGAAACAATTGGGCTGGTCAAAGTTCTTCCAGATCATCGATGGAATTGCACGGGGGCTTCTCTACCTTCATCAGGATTCAAGATTGCGAATTATTCACAGAGATCTGAAAGCAAGTAATGTGTTGCTTGATGCTGAGCTGAACCCAAAGATTTCCGACTTTGGTTTGGCAAGAACCTTTCAAGGAGATCAGTGCGGAGACAACACACAAAGGGTTGTCGGAACTTTGTAAGTTTAAACAGGCCATAAATTACATCCATGACACATCCATATCTGTCATGTAATTTTATTAGCTGATCATTTGCAGTGGCTATATGGCTCCGGAATATGCGCTATATGGTCTATTTTCAGTAAAATCTGATGTCTTCAGTTTCGGTTTGCTATTGTTGGAAATCGTAATCGGAAAGAAGAATAGATGCTTCTATCATCCACATCATCATCACGGTCTTATAGAATATGTAAGATTTGAAGAAGTTGCAGTTTCTTCGTTGTTTGAATAATTCATAAGTGGGAATAAGTACTCCAACTTTGAGAGTATACATCTAGATACCTCAATTTGGTCTCAACTAGCCACTTAACACTCCAACTCGTCCTCACTATGTCTCATGGATACCCGATGTTGCTGACACAATGAACACAAGTTGAAATGTCTAGATGTGCATACACAAAGTAATTGGAATGCTTAATTGCCAGTTGAAGCCAAGTTTGAATGTTTTGTTTTTGTAATATGCCTTTTCTTCTATATTCCCTTTTCAGGCATGGAGAATGTGGACGGAAGGGACACCCCTCGCGTTAGTTGACTCCTCGTTAAAGGACACAAGCTCTATGTTGGAAATATCGTGGTGCATTCATGTAAGTCTGTTATGTGTCCAGCAGATTCCGGGAGACAGACCAAATATGTCGGTCGTGGTTCTAATGTTGAATGGAGAGAGTACACTACCACAGCCAAGACAACCTGGTTTTCTGAGAGATGTGATGCCAACTGATGTTACTTCTATCAGGTCTGATAATGACTCTTGCACTGCAAATGAAATTACATTTTCCTCGTTCGGGGCTCGTTAGAGAACTTCTAACGTTATTAAAACTTGTTTTGGTTTCGTTTTTACTTTATTTGATAACGAAGATGACATGAGTTGAGCTTAAATGAAGCAGTAAAGATTCAGATAGTCGATCCCAAGTGTATTCCAACTCTAAATACAAACTTCCATTTATCTACCACAATTGTTCTTGGTTTTCATTGTGCAATTTTCAATTGTTGTTATAGATTCAAGAAAGTGGAATGAACACTTACCTTTGGGTGAAAGTTATTTTCCTCATCGAACGTTGCTTTAAAAATCAAACTCCCTCTTCGACTTTGAATAATAGGTCATTTCTAATATTGTTTTTTTCTCTTGAATTTTACTTTCTTCATCAAGAAAATCCAATTTCGAGGACTTTATTTGAATGTTTAAATGATCTCGTATGACCACTTACCATTTGAACCGAAGGAAATTACTCTACAAAGATTTCATGTTGTATTTACATTTATGTTGTGTATTTTTTTTTAAAGTAATAATCTCCTAGAAAAAGTCGTATAATTACAATAACATTTGTAATGGATTATAAAATCAAATTTCTCAATCAGATGGAATTTTGTGCCTTCAACATTATAGATTGTGGTGGGATAGATAGGATCCCTCCATGCTACAGAATGTTTTTTTTTTCTTTAATTTAATTTATACGACACAAATTGAAATTAATAAGAACCCCAATACGAATACTACACTCCAACGGAAAAACTCTTTCACAAAGAGTTTCAAAGATGCTGACTTTTCCTTATAAACTTTTGTCAATACTCTTCAACAAGGTTAATGATTTAAAATGCATCTAAAATATCTCGATTTTTTGAGTTTTATACCTAGACATAAGTGTACGAGTTTCCTATCTCAATTAGCATCAACTATAATCAAAACACGTATAAACAATCACTTATTCCCTTTTCTTAATTGAAATATCACCTTTATTTAGTAGTAAAAAGGAATAATTAATAATTAAAATGTAATTGAAATATCACCTTTATTTAGTAGTAAAAAAGAATAATTAATAATTAAAATATATTTAATATATAATTGGTGGTCCGATATGAAACACAAAAAGACTAAAATATAAAAGTAGGAAAAATCTTTTTGGCCAGAAAATTTAGCCAGAATGATATTTTATCTATATTATTTTATCTTTTTAAATATTTTTACTCTTTTAACTTTAATATCTTTTAACTAAAATATTGAAAAAAGATCAATTTATTTTAAAATTAAAAAAATATTATAATTTTTTAAATTTTCTGACCATTTAACACTTCCCATAAAAATATTTGGCCTTTCGAAAGATTGACTTTTCATTGCAACTTTTATTTTTATTACTTCAATGTAAACATGTGCATTGAAGACATACATCTCTTTTGACTTTTCGAATAATATAATAGCTTCACATTATATTTAGGTAATTTCTATTTCGTCAAGTTTAAATATAATTTTCTCCGTCCAATTATATAATAATTTTTAAAAAACAAAATACTTGGTGCTTACCAATTAATATTAAGGAAAAAAAATAATTAAGTTTTTTTTAACAATATTTACTATGACAATAAAAAAGATATCCAAACAAACACGCTATTATATCATTTACAACAATATTTCATTGTAAACCAAGTTTTCTATGAAATCAATTTTTCATTTTATGTTATTATATATTTTCTATAATAAAAGTAAAAAATATCCAAACAAACAACGCTAGATCCTATATTCTTTATGGAGCAACTTTCACATATAGCAAACATAAAAATCATTTTTGTACGTTATAGTTGTAGTTTACATAATTGCGCTCCATAGCAAATTTTATGTTTGTTATGAAGCTTTTGATTTGTATAATTCGCTATTATATTATATGTTCTCTATAAGAATAACTAAAAAAAGGGAATTTTACACAAATCTCATAATGTTAAGAGATAATAAATCTTATCCCTATTTTTTTCAAAACAAAAATCTCTTAAATTTGGTGGAATACGGATATATCCAAAACGTCCCGATACACTGCGTCTCGATTTCAGATACATCCCGATACATCGCGTATCAGTTTCGAATACATCACTCAATATCCCGATACATCGTGTACATCCCGATATATACATCGCGTAAAGTGATGTATCCGAGAATAGGAGATAGTAGGGATTTTTGTAATTTTTTGAATGGTAGGAAATTTTAGAGAAAATGGTAAAATAAGTTCTGTATTTAGGTAATTTTTCCTTAAAAATTATTTGAATAAATGACGCCGTTATAAGGATAATTTCAAAAAGACAAATATACCCCTAATGTGTGACAAGACCAACATTAGAAATTGGGAGGCAATTTCTTCCTCTTACTGTCAGGCTAAGCCAAAGCAAAGGCAATTTCGCGTTAAAGACTCTATCTTTGCTGTATTTTCCATGGCGTTTTCTTCGAAACCCCTCTCTACCGTCCAAATTTCTCCTTTATATACAATTCTCCACAACCCCTTTTCTTCATCAATCAATTTTCTGACCAATTCCAACTTTTATTTCTTCAATGGCTACTTCAAGAAAATCCAATTTTAATGATTTTTTGCCTCTTATGGCTGAAAAACTTGGTGGGGATGGTTTAATTGGTGAGCTGTGTAAAGGGTTTCAGTTATTAATGGATAGGGATAAATGGGTTATCACATTTGAGAGTCTTAAGAAGAATTCAGCTTTGTTAGGGTTACAAGATTTGAGTGATGATGATCTTAAGGGTATGGTTAAAGAAGGGGATTTTGATGGTGATGGAGCTTTGAATCAGATGGAATTTTGTGTTTTGATGTTCAGATTAAGTCCTGAGTTGATGGAGCAGTCTCAGTTTTTGTTAGATGAAGCTCTTCATCAAGAATTCAACTTTTCATTGTAACTTTTAAAGATTGTGACTTTTTCATCTTTTGTTATACTTACACATTGAAAATATATACAGATGATACTATTGTTGTTGTTACTGTTGCTTTTCTGAATGCAATGTCGTTTTTACTTTTTTCATAACTATTTTGATTCGCTATACTTGAGACGAAGGGTCGTTTGAAAACAACCTCTCTATCTCCAGGAGGGTAGGGATAAAGTTTGGGTACACTCCATCTCTGTTCTCAAGATTCCAGAAAACTCGTGGAATTTCACGGAGCATGTTGTTGTAGTATGTGATATTCTTACCTTTCTAGCATGTTTTAGCTATGTTTGAGTAATAATTTTAACTTCTAATTTTTCATCTTACTCTAAATAAGATAAATTTATAGTAAATAACTTGTTCAACAAAATTGTAAAATTAACAGATCATCGATCATATGGTGAAATGTTCAATGTGAATTCACGTTCGAAAGATATCATATTGAAGTCATACAATTATGACTTTGACATGGTTTTATTTTGTTTATCATATTGGATATTTCGTTCTTTTATTTGGAATTCTTCTTTGACACCTTTACTATAGATTAGATGTATTTGGTCCTCAAAATGGATTGCGATTTTTTATTTTTTTTTCTTAATACATTTTCCTTTCTTCTCAAGCTGTCATGATTTGGACTCATCATGCTACTCATTGAAAACATAAATGAGATATATCATCACATAAAATAAAACGAAAGAATATTTTTATTTAATAATAGGGAAAATGCATAAGTACCCCCTAGTCTATGCCCGAAATTCTTGAGACACACTTAACTTTTACTAAGGTCCTATTATCCCCCGAACTTATTTTTTAATTAATTTTTTACCCCTTTTCGGCTTACATGGCATTATCCTTGAAAAAATTGTCAACACGCGCTTGACCCACAAGATAGTGTCACGTAGGCCGAAAAGGGATAGAAAATTATATATAAAATAAGTTCGGAAGGGTAATAGGACCTTAGTAAAAGTTAGATGTGTCTCAGGAATTTTGGGCATAGATTGGGGTTATTTATGCATTTTCCCTTAATAATATTAAAAGTATTTTACAAGTTAAAAAAGTCCAATCAAGAAAAAAAAAAGCTTTAATGAGTGAATAATTGAGAAGTTTGCAAGTGCAAGGCAATAAATCATGGGGCATGTCATATATCCATACCTAAAGAATAGGGAAAAAGTCAATTATTGCCTTGTTTTTCCTCTTTGATCATTTTTAAACTTGGTTGAGCTAGTCAAACTTATTCACTCATCATTCCTTTTCTTGAATTTCCATATTCCAATTTGATCACATTTACTTTAGATTAAGATCTAAATTAAATTAACTAATTAAAGTGGTAAATAAGTACAAGTATTTCCTTCTATTCAATTTTGTTCGTATAATTTTGTCTTCACACGTAATTTAAGAAAGAAAAATACGATAAACAAAGTAAAACATAAAGCATCTGTTGTCCGCTTTGGCCAAAAGTCTACCGGGTTTATGGAGGAAATTATATTCAATGATTTAAAAAAATGAATAATCTTGAACTTTTGATCTTATTTGCTCTATGTGCAATCGTGCAAACCTTCAAGGTCAAAAGTGTTGTCTATGTGGCAAAATTTATTAAATTTGAAGTTTTGTTAACGTGCAAGTAGGATTAAAAGTTCAAGACTATTCACTTTCAAGATTGTTCTTATAAATCACTCCGTTCATGCCATCTTTAAGCTCAAAAGTTCACGTATCACATAAACTTCTATTATCTTTTATAAAGTTTTTCACTTTCCTCTCCTATTTCCATGTGTGATCACCTAATAACTTGTTTGGTTGGTTGTTACATATCGTCCCATAACATATCATGTTTTTTAATTGCATAATATTGTTTTGATAAATACAAGTAAATTATATCATCTTTTATTGTTACATATTATCACACATCACCAATCTAAAAAATAAACTTACAATATCATAAAAACAGGGTACAAAATAAAGTTATTATTAAAATCGTAGAAAAACTAATAAAATAATTAAAAAGTGTGATGAGATGAGTAAGATCTCAAGTTCCAACAATAAGAACAATTTTTATTTTGTTAAAAAAGATGCCCTTAGAAATGAATCCCACAATATGCCAACGTAATTTAGAGGGATAGACTCGAACATTCTTTTATTCCGTCCTAAAATTTAGAATCCCAATTTTTTAATCTGACCTTCCGTGAGACTGCGATAAAAATGGATCCTGCAATGTGCGGAACGGATTTAATTGACGGTCTTTTAGCAACTATAAATATAAATATATAAACTGAAAAGACAGTTGTGGTTCTACAACTCTGCTCTCAAATCTTCCTTCCAAATCGAAAATGGCTACCAAAATTTACATAGTGTAAGTAAATTTGTTAAATTTTCAGCTGTTTATTGAAAAAAAATTGATAATAATTTTGTTTTGCCTGTTGATTTTGCGTTTAAATCGGATGAACTTTAGTGTTTTTAGTTGATTCGTTTTTTGTTGAATTCAATTTAATTACCGATTTAGCGTTAATGATGTTAATTACATGGAAATCATCATTATTTAATTTAGAGTTTTAGTATATTGATTGAAGGATCAGATTTTAGCTTAGCTGCTGCTAAATTTGGGTAAATTATTTGTTAGATACAGTGAGATGATAAATTTGTGCATTGAAAAATTAATAAATTATTATTCCTTATAGTTTGATATTAAGGGCAGATGTAGTAATTGACAAAATTGTGCATTGAATTGATTTAGTTTGATATTAAGGGTGGATGTAGTGTTTGAGTAGCTGATGTGGTTGCACCCTGTGCCTCAGCTTGAAATTATGTGTGAAGTGGCGGATCCGGGATTTTGAAGTTGTGGGTTCTGGAGGATCCGGGATTTAGACAGTGTGGGTTGTGAAAGATCCCGGATTTAGATGTTGTGGTGGGTTCTGAGTTCAGAGTGTGTGTTCTGGAGGATCGAGGATTTAGACGTTGTGGGTTTTGGAGGATCGAGGATTTAGACGTCGTGGGTTCTGAGTTCAGAGTGAGGGTTCTGGAGGATCCGGGATTTAGACGTTGTAGATTGTGAAGGATCCCGGATTTAGACGTAGATTTAAACATTGGGGCTCTGAGTTAAGAGTGGGGGTTTTGAAATATAAATTTAGCTGTTTCCCATGTATACATATTGGGTTTTTAAAAGGCACAGGTTATGCTGAACCTGTATAATCTTTCTGGATCCGCCAATAGATATACGGAGTTGAAATAAAACATTATATATGATAGGCTCCCTCATTGTCACAATGTAATAGCGGGTGTGGTAGTAGTCATATTTGTTTGACATTTGTGATCTAAAGATCAATCTTAGAAAGTCTGGCCGTTATTTTCTCTGGAGTAGTTCCTGGCAATGTTGCTCGGACTTTGCATAAATGTCACTGGGTGCATGTTGGATCCTCCTAAAAGAGTGCATTTCTGGAGGATCTGACATAGGTGCGGCTGTTTTTGTAGAGTCCGAGCAACATAGCTTCCTGGTACGTCAAATTGTTTAATCAGTGCGCTACCCCCATCAACTCTTGGTTCCTTGCTCTGGGTCACCTTGATCTCTAGGTACCAAAGAAAATAAATGGATTGCCACAAAGAAATTACTGTATATTCAACTAGTTCAGTGTAGTATCTATATATTATAGGACTCATCCAAGTAGTGAATTCACAAAAATCTAGAAAACGGAAGAAGAGATTAGAAGTTGTTAAATTTTTAAACGAAGTCATGTGAAGTTAGATTTGTCAGATAGCTACCAGTATATGGGTAATAGGTGTTAATCTGAAATTTAAAACCATCTTGAATCTAATTCCCTTTTAACATTTTTGTTCGTTTATGGATTTGGTTTCATTCACCTTACCTGAGTGTTTAAAATGATTGCATAAACTTAATGAAATGTCTATCCTACAATTCACATGTTTGGGAAAGAAACACTCTTATGTTTTCATGGGGATTTAGTGGTTTTCTATTTGTTGGTCATTGGTTTGATGACAGTCTGCACTATTGTGTCCACAATTCCACATTCAAGATTATCTTCCGACTATGTATCCCAATCTAATGCCAATGGAGTCAGAGTTCTTCAGAAGTTTATTCATGCACTCCCCAAGATTTGCCTTATATCAAAGAGGATCTGGCTATAGTAAATGTTTTTCCGCCACGTGGTACAGCAATAATGTCAATATTTACCGAGTTTAGAACCTAAGGTTGTAGTCTTAGCTAGAGTTGCAGGGAGCATTGACTAAGAAAATAGAGATGAATAGCATTTGGAGTAAAGGGATCATGAACTAATAGATGAAGTCTGAATGAGAGCTTTGATGCAATTCAATTTGGCAACATAACAAGTGTCCGGAGGACAAAACACAGTTTAATCTGATTGGAGGAGGGACAGATTGCTATCTTCTTAAAATTTACAGTAATATGAGTTACTACAAGCCTTTTATTCCTCATCCATTGAATACTGATAGCTGACATTTTATTTCTTCAACAGATATTATTCAATGTATGGGCATGTGGAGAAACTAGCAGAAGAGATAAAGAAAGGGGCAGCATCTGTTGAAGGAGTTGAAGCTAAATTATGGCAAGTAGGTGTTGCTTTGTCTTTTCATATCTTTCCGTTTGGAATGGAAAATACATAAATCTTATCTCGAGAGAGTATCTGCAAGTCTTTGTCATCTACTAATAATGAGCCAGGAAGTACAACAAGTTGGTAGTCTTAGTTATCACTTTGTTTTGATTACCGCCTGACAACTCTATAGAGGTTTTCTTACCAAGGTGGTTCCATGTTGAGAGGAACCATTTTTGTCACTTAGGTCAGTTGGACCATTTTTCCAACAGTTAGTAAGAAGGGTATTTTTTATCCATTTTGCTAGTTGGAGGGAATTTTTGAGCCAAAAACGCAACTGTAGGGGCATTTTTGAGCCAAAAACATAACGGAGGGTAAAACTGAGCCATGTTGATTAGTTTAGGGGTATGTTTGGCCCTTTTCC